AACTCAAATCAGAAGGGAATGCGGCAGCTGTTTCAGAAATGCTCTGAAATAAGGGAAGTACATACATAAAATCACTGAAGGCCTGGTCTTCTTTCACTGAAAACAATGACACAACTTCCATCGATACGTGGGTCAGCCAATTCCAAAGTAAATCAATTTCCCTGCACACGGCAAGGGAGATCCCTCCCAAGAGCCCTGCTGAAAGAGCTGGGCTTCCACCTACATAGCAAGGGCAGCAATGCTTCCCAGAATGTCCATCCAAGAGGAATCTGAGCTCCAGTCATAGCCATCGAGCCCTAACAGGTGAGCAACAGCAACTCTATTCCAATCTGGTTTTAAAGAGTATTTTATACTTTATCACTGATTTAAGATCTTAAGACTTGTATTTATTTAAAAAAGCAGAAGCACTGTCAAACAGCCGACAATAAGAGTAAAATGTGGCTTTACTTCATTGAACATCTGGAAAAACATAAGGGTAGGAGAGCAGTTTGCTGACAACTGCAGAGCTAGCACAGATTTAGGACCCAGTGTTGCCAAATGTAAAGCCTCTCCAGGCAAGAGTGAAAGATGCTCAGCTGGATCTGTCATTGAGGATGCAGCAAAGGACACCGGTCCCTCAAATTAATGATTCCCTTTCCTGGAAACCCACACTTTGTTACATTTATGATGACTTAAACTTCATATGGAGTCCTAAGATCTGATAGTGAGTTCAAGCCAAATTCTTTCATCTGGGAAAAGTTATGAGTTCTGCAAGACGATTGAAAGCAGGTAGAATTCAGCTGGTTCTCAACAGAACCCTTTACAGACACATCTTAGTCCCCTACAGCAGACCACATTGGCATTTTGTGGACATCAGCCTCAGCAAAATAGGTCTTACAGCAAAATTTCTACTTTTCCAGTGCTGCATTTGTGTACATAAACAACACATTAACAAAAGCAGAGATGTCCTTTGTGGAAAGTTCATCATTAAAACTTCAGGCTAAACAGCTCACAGTGAAAAAAAAAAACAACTCCGAAGAGTAAGCAACCAGACTTAAGGTCACAAATCTCTGCAGTGATATTCAACGAGAAGATATCAAAGAAAGGAGAAAGGCAAAGAACGTACAGGATACACTGAGATCCCAAGTGAAATCCTACAGTTTCAGGTCTGACTCTTGGTCCACGAGATAATGGACAAACTCCTTAGGGTTAACACACCTTTAAATTAAACAGTTCAAAGGCAATACCTAGATCCCCAGTGACTAAGGCACACAGAGGACAAAAGCAGAGCAACCGAAATGTGGAATGCCTCTGGAACCACAGAAAACACAAATAACAAATGAGTCACTCTAAAAGCAACTTCCAATGAAAACAGAGGGTGAAAATGTACCATATTGTGCTGTGAGTTTTGACAAGTATAAATGAAAGCGGCAATGAAACCACACATTTGTTGTACTCTCTACAGACGTTAGACTAATTCAGTTTTCCATCACATCAAGAGATAACATATGCCTCAGTATTATTGCTTCTTTTGGTTCTGTTTTTTCCAGAAGCAGGAAGAAGAGGTGCGATGATCTTGCAGGTCTTTTCCAACCTCAACCATTTTATGAATCTATGATTGCCTCTACAGCCCTTTAGGACCAACAGTTCCAGAACACTGCCCAACCACTGCCTTCTGATTGCAAAGCGTTGGCAGGGCACACTCTCACCATCAGAGCATCTCAAGTTTCACTCCAAGGAAGATAAGGAACACTCCCCTTCCACTGGCGTGTGGAGGAAGCTCCAGACTCGACCAAGAAGCTGTAAGCCCTCGGTGGGACAGCCACCAGGGTGTTGTACAAGTGCTCCTAGCTCTCATTTAGAGGTGGCTTCCTGTTTCACCAGCTGGCTTCATGAACAACACCCATCATTTTCACAAGTTTCTAATCCCCGACACGGAAACCCTAGATTTTTTCCCAGAGGTAGCTTGTGAGATTTTGCCTAACATAGTTATTTCTTATCAGACTGACAGGAAGAAGAGCTTTCAAGCAGCTCATTTGTGTGAAACCTTCACATACTTGTTGTCATTCTCCTGTTGCTGTCTGGCATAGCTTTGGTCTGCACAGGGCATGGCCCCCAAAGCACAGGCTGCTTTTAGCAATGCTGCTCATCCTTGCTCTGGCCACAGATGCAACCAAAGTGAAAATAACCACGTACAATACTTCACTTGGGACAAGTTAGTAAAGAGGATTTTGGCCATTTATTTATTTCTTGGCACTGCTGAATGCCAATGTTTTGATTTCAATGTAAGTATAGCCAATCACATAATCCTGCTGCCTGAGAGCTACACGATCCACTGAATGGAGGGCCACCACAAGTGTAGGAAAGACGTTGAACCTGAAGAAAAGATGACTAAATACTCAGATACTCTAAGGGACATGTCATTGTATGACAAAGTACACTTAAAATGTAACAGGAAGATGGAGGCTTAGCATGTAGAAAAAGCTTCCCTTAAGGTCCCTTACATCAAGTTGTTTTCCAGTTACTAAGACTGGAGAATGAAGTGAAGGACAAAAATAAGCAAAGGAAAATAAAGGGAAGAAAAATAAAAGCTTTGTTCTGAAGTTTCAAAAGCTAATTATCACAAGGAGCCAATTTCATCCAAGGCTGGGACAAGTTGTACTAGTGTAATATCTTGCTGTATTTTACTGATGCCAGCAAGTTTTCAGTCCCAGAAATGTATCAGAAGTGATGCCTCAAACTTCAATGGAAATCTTCCAGGAAAGAGAAAAAAAAAATCCTTGCAGGCATCTATAATAGGTTGTGGTGAGAATGAAACAAGAATAGCAAGCCAGGGAACCTTCACATTTTTGCAGGAATGGAGCTTCCAGTCCCTTACACAAGTTAAATGCCGTTCAAAAGCATTTTCCCATGGGAAAAAGTAAGCAATCAGAGATGGAAATAAAGTGGAAATTATTGCTATCTTGCCAGCTTGAGATGCCTTCAGATATTTGTTTGGGGCAGGGAAACCTGGCAGAAGCAAAGTATGCAAACCATGCTACTTGAAGTTGCCTTATACATTCAATGATAAATGTGCACACATAGAAATACATACACACTGATACACACACTGTGAACAGCTGAATATATGAAGGGTTTAAGAGTGAAGGAAATGCAACGTCCACATTACATCGACAGCTGAAGAAAGTGAGAAAGTCTTTGGGGCGGGGGTGAGAGGGGAAAATACCTTTTCCATAAATACCTTTTGTGGAGAATTTTGTGATTTTGTCATTTATGGGAGAACATGCAGACTGCACACTGGCAATTTGCAAATAAACCCAAAACCAACCAGCTCTCTGACACCAATTATGAATACTGTATCAGCTTTTTTAGAATACACTTGGTACAACTGCAGCTGCATCCAGACTCACCTCTGCGCCTGCTTCCCCCTTCCAGTTCATGCATCCTGAAGTCTTCCAATCCAGCCCCAAATCCACTTTGACAGCTCCCTCTAGCTAATTAGATAAAATACACTGGCCTCTCTTCTTGGATTAATGGAGGATATATTAAACAGTAACTGGGAAGACCCTTCAGAAAGGGCATGCCAAAGACATCTACTTTATCCAAAAGCATACCACTTAAAAAGGCCAAACAATCCCAAGGGAATGAGGGAGGGCAGTAATTATGTGGTATTAGTGAACAGCTTTAAATATAGTTTCTTCAAAAGTAGCTGGCATCAACTGTATTTATTTACATAGAAAGTTCACTGGGGTGGGATGATCAGCTATTTTTGAGTCTCAGAAAGGTCAGAGGAATGCAAGACAAGCACTGGCATTCAAAGGACCATGGAAGATGATCTTGTAAGTGTACTCACCTTGACAGAACATCTTAGGAAAATACAATTTCAGTAAAAAGATGCTGGTATATAGCTCTGGTACAGTTACATGTACTGAGTAAATAAACCCAAAAGTTGATCAGTATACAACTTTTCTATGACTTGGAGCAGAGCCATTGGAACTTTTTTCATAATAAACAAATCAAAGAACTGCTCCTCCAGAACAGATCCTCCCTGATGGGAAAGCATTGGCATCCTGCTGAGCAGATGGAGGGACCCTGCATCTTCTCTGGCTGAAGGCTGATGCACGTGTTTTTGATGCCTGCAAGTGCATTGGTGGTGAGCTTTTCTTTCCTGTTGATTTTTTGTTTTCCTGGTGCAATGATTGGAAGTTTTTGTTGCTGTTGGTTGTTTCGGGAAGGACAGGGAGACACTTAAGAATTTTTGGTCTGAAAGAAACAAGGTTTGTAGATGCAGCAGTCCTCAGCTCTGCATCTGCCCAGTGCAGGGAATTTCTTAAAGATCTCAAAATAAGAATAAGACAATTTAAGCTTCTAGGAGAAATTAGAAATTAACACTGTGGCCATCCTTTTTTGAAACACCTTTGCTATTTGGAGTAGCAAGTGCAGAGAATCTCTTTTCTTCTCATATGAAGTGAAACAATGCCTCTGGAGGGCTTTTTTTCCTCCTTAAAATGAAAATCATAGTTCTTCCTCTTTTTCAAGGCAAGTTTTGACTTAGAATGCACCCCTCTCAAATCCTAAGCAATTAGGAAATTACAGCCAAGGACTGTTCTTCACTCTCACAGTTCTGCAAGACTACACTGGCCCAAGAAATGATTTAAAACAAGACTTCATATTTAGGGAATTTCGTATTTCGCATCTCTTGTATTCACATGAATGTACTGCAATTTCCTACTTTCAGAATATTCCCTGTTTTTTTATGTCTGTGGAGAAAAGATGGTGGTTGTAAATATCTTTTTTCATAATCTTGATCATTAGAGCCGTGAAGTTGGGGTAGTGGACCACTTACACCCAATGATTCTGCTCTCTTATGTGTATGGCTTCCTCTGGTTAACTGGAATTAATTGGAATTTCCCAAACTTAAGAGGGAAAATAAATAAAAAATTAAACAAACTCTAGTTAATTATATGCAAAGTCCAGTAAACAGCAGCAGCAGTTAAAGGTCAAAAATGGAAACAAAGAAAAATGATTAACAAATTTTACTCCTTAAAACAGTCAGGATTCAATAGAAGTTTGTACTTTAGCTTTTTTCTTTATCGTTAGAAAAAGCATTAACATCTTAAAGTGCACAATTACAAAAATGTTGTATTTTGAGTGACATGTTTTGCAGTCAATTTCCTAAATGGCTCTAGTAAATTCAAATTTAATTCCTAAAGTTACAGCAGTTCAACGTTTGTAGGAATATATTTATATTACAACCTTCATTAGTTACCCTCTTCAGCTCCCCACATAGTGGATTTAAACATCATTTGTCAAATCTGTTATACTCAGGGCATACTCAGTTTAGCATTCTAACCAAATTCTTCTAAGGGGCTTTGAGAGGGATAAATTAGGGTTTTAGATCTATTGCATTTTCCTAACAGGAACAGAGATGCAGTTCGGATAGCTGGCAAGACTACCTCATTTGAAAACTAGTCCAATCAATGGCAGCACAAAATGAAATGCAATCTATGCCATTCAACGCGTGATGCAATTCCTAAAGTGGTGCTCAAAGAACAACAAAAAAGTACACTAGGCTAGAGGCAAAACTTCAGCTCGTTCACTCCACTTCTTTGACTCAATGAACAGACACACTCAACTAATTGCTTTGGCAGGCCAGCAGGCTGCCTTTGCTTAATAGTACTAACTACTAGGAATTCCACTACGCTTCAGCCTCTAGTATTCAGGATTTTTAACAAACACTGTTTTAAAGTGAACCTCAGGACTGTCTTGTATTTAGAAGAAGACACTTCTCCCCTCACTTCCTCCCTCTAGTCACTGCATTAGGCATAACTACGTACCAATACATGATGGTAGACCAGCTGAGTACTTATCCATCACAGGGAAGCCAAGCACCTACACAGCACTCTGCTAATAAAGGCTATTTGGAGCAATTCTGAGCTTACAAATAATAGAAAACTACCTTCCCCATATGCTTGCTTCATGCTTGCCAGATGCATCCATTTGAATTTACTCAAAGGCACAAGGGTTCTTCATCTTCATCTTACAGGGCTGAGCTGTGAACATGCAGCAAAATTCCAATCTCATATTCACAGCAGAGTACAACAAATCCAAACACAAAACTGAATCATTACTTGACCTTCACATTTAATTACTCCTATTTTTGGCTAGTTCAACAGCCTTTCCAGATCTAGCAATTCATAACAAAGCATCAGGCAGCCAAGCATTCAAAAGATGACAGGTTTGGATTTCTTCACGATGATCTGGACTTTTTCATTTTCATGATTAAGCTACATTTAAGGAAAAAATATTACTGATACCATCCAGAGTGCATCACATCCCTGTCAGTTTTGTGCAGTATAAAACATAATAGATAGTATAATCATCAGCTTCATACAAAGTCCTGGCATTTGGTTAGGGAAGGAAGGAGAGAACTAAATGAATAACAGTAAGGGTAAAAGTTCTTCATAGGCACTGAAGGCATCTATTACATGAAGCAAAGTACATGAAAATTAGTTTGGATTCTGATGTTAGGCTCAATGTAAAATTCTTGGAGATGTGAAACCCGCAGCAGTGCTGTGAAGTTTATCCTATCATAGAATTTCTTCTGACACCCTGACAAAAACTAAAGACTCAGCTGCTACATGCATGCTGTTTGATAAGATCTAAAATGATTGAAAGTTCATAGCTTCAAAAGACAGCCTGCACCCTACAAAGAAATACAGCATTGAAAAGGAATAAGAAAAAAGTACAAATTTCCATCAGTGACCGTGTTTGCACATGAGCAATTTACACATCCAAGTGAAAAGTCATCTGACAAAAACGTTTGCCATTACTCGATCATCTTGTACACAGGGTCTCCAACCTGAATTGTTCCAGTTTTGTCAATAGCAAAGTATTTTCCAAAGAGAGGGCTGGATTTGTATATGTGTCGCTCTGATGGATCACACAGGCGATAACTGCAAAGAGAGAACACTTCCTTAGAAGCAGTGGAAGCACACCCTAAACATCAAAAAGCAGTGGTGGCAGAGAGGACATATGATGTTTGGACCACCATACTAGAGTACAAACTAAACAAGCACTATAACTAAGCACTTCAGACAGAGAGAGAGAATCTGACTGCACTCACACATTCGTACATTTACCACATACACAGAAGATACTTTAAAGAAGAAATGCTAAAGCTGCAAAAATCAAACCTTTAAAATACCTTAAATATCTGTCACACCAAGCATTCATTCTAGCACTGATGAAAGAGCAGCGAATATAAAGTTTGCAAGAAAGAAGAGAGAACTTCCTGAATTTTCTTACCACACAGTATTGCATAAAATAGAACGGAAGCCAATAAACACAGATCTTTGCATTATTACATCCCACACATCCTTAAAACCACTTTTAAAACATCAGCCTAGCATGTGTTGGGATCTAGCCTAAATCCAATCACACATCCTGAAACACACTGGTATTTTTAAACCTTTTCAATGTTTCCAGAGGCTCTTTCCTGTCCAGAACTCCAGTGTCTGGGTCAACAGTCGTTAAAATACACCTGCAATGACAAACAGCATCAAATCATTCACTTTTTTTTTTTACTATAAATCTTTATACCTTCATGTAAAGCAACACTCTCAAATGCTTACCTTCCACAGCACACTGTCCCTTTCATCTCCACGTCACCAATAAGAACGTCCTCCCAGCTGTCCTGAGGAAAGGTTTATACACAGATAAGATGCACCACGCACAACCAATCCCACCAGTCACCCCTTGAACAGGCAGCACCACTCCAGATAACCATCTTTAAGAGCACACATCCCCATGACTGAAAGCATACAGATATGTTTCGATATGTGAATATTCATCCAATTTCTACCAACTGCCATCTATTCCTAGGATTGCTATGTGTGTTAAAGTCTAATATCACAGATGCACTGTGTTAATTTGGGACTCTGGGGTCTTTGGTGGTTGTATCCAGTTAAAAGACTTATTACAGAAGTCAGGTCCCATATATGGTCAGAAACCTATTTACAAAAAAAAATACGGCTGTTGACTGAGTTTTTAATTGGAGCTTCAACTTTGCTATGGCACCTATTATCCACCCTAGCAGGGTATAGTTTACTTCCTACTCAAAGCTGGTGGTCTGCTGAATTTCTGCTTTTTAGGCTCCAGATGATCTTTTTATCCAAGAAAAAAAACTTTCCCAAGACAACAGTTCTGCTGAGGCGTTTGAGTCAATTGCTGAAACCCCTGGATTCACTGGATTCATTGACAGGTACCAATTCCACCAGATACCTTCATAAACAGTACTTTTTGAACCACCAGAATGCAGGCAGAGATGTAGTGATGGTACTGCAGAATAACAAGGGCCAGTTTTACTCTTGTGCCAAGAGCTATGAAACACTGCATTCACAATTTTGCAAATTGTTAATGTATATTGATAATCTGATCAATTACAGCATGCACAGCTTTCTTTGCTTCACACTTAAAGGCGAACTTTAATAGTAAACTGTCACTTAAATACACTGATGTCATCCTTTGCTAAGCTAATTAGGTTCACAGACTTGTCACCTCCCCTCAATGATTCACATGGATTCAAGCAAGAAGAAGCTGTATCTCTCTGGAATCCAGCTGTACATCGCAGAACAGCAGCTTTCCTCATCCATGTTGGCACCACATCCCAAGGAAATTGAGTTGAAGAAGAAAAACATATCCAAGACTTCAAAAAAACCATTTCAGATCTATTTTACCTCCTCAAAAGCACTGCAATCTGACACAAAAATATTCGGTCTGAAGTTCTGTATCTTAACTTTCTTCTCCAATCTGGTATTTAAGTCTTCCAAGGAAGCTTCTGAGATGATCAACACTGGGCTACAGTCAGGATAGGCAACCTACAAAAACAAACACAAACAAATTGTCAAGCTGTAAGAGCATGGGAGTAAATGGCAAAAGATAAGTTACACACTGATATGTTGCAACAAGAGGCCATTTATCTGCCTGGCAGTATTAAGATGCTGTATTCAGATTTTAGTTTTGGTGGAATTAAGTTAGAAAAAAGGCAGTTACTTCACTTGCAATTTCAGAAATTGCTACAACTTTCATTTGCTCAAACCGTAAAATTAAACTTCTATTAATAGAATTAAGCTGAAATTACAGCAGCTGTCACAAGAACTGTGCAAGCATGAGTGGCTTAAGGAGGAAACAAGAGCATTAATTACCTCGTCAGTGGTTCGGAAAAGGTTTATTACGTCCTTTGACTTTCTTGGCACCATGGAAGGCTCGAAGTGCACTAGCCGATATGGCTCTGAATTCAGGAATGTGGTGATCCACTGAGCCACTTCATCACCACAGTCCCTGCCTTGAATATCCAATCCAAACACCCTAAGGGATCACAAGGCATATTAGCAAGTTAGCTGGAAAGCCAAGGGCTCAAGCAGTGTCGCTATTCAAAAGTAAGCATTTTAACAGTAGTAGCTAGACGCAGGTAATAAACCACCTGAATTAACAAGGTGGAAGATTGCTGAATTTGGCATGAGGATCATATCCAGTGTGCAATCTTCTTGTAGGAAGCTGAGTAACACAGACGTGGCTGGACAATATCAGCTGGTAAAAGAACAAGCCGCAAAGAGTTCAGGTGCCCAGGGCTGACTGTAACACAGCAACCAGTAACAAACCTGTCTGTCTATTCTCAAGTGGGGAAAACAAGTATTTTCTTACATTTACTTATGACTAACACCAAAAGATCTCTACCAAAAACTGACTGACAGGTAATTAATTTGATGAGTGGCATTTTGAAGGATGTGGTTAATTACTGAAATTAGAACTTGCAGATATCGTCTCTGATTGTTAAGGATGTTTTCCTTCACGTTTTAGTGCTGTAAAGTTTACCCAAAGCTGAGTAAAACTCTGCCACCAATGGATCTCTTCCTGCTGCATTCTGACATCAAGAAATTTGCATACGCCATATGTATTTTAACTATGAAACAGTAGGGGCTGCAAAACAGTTTGTCAGAGGCTGGTATTTACACACTCCACCAAAAAATAAAAATAAAAAAAATCAGCAAAATCAAATCACACACTACATCCAGACCACCTGAGAACCAGCCTGTCAGCTCAAAGTGGAGCAGGAAGTACAATGCAAACTTCAACCACTGTTTTCAATGAGACCCTTTCCCAAAAACGATCTGTCTCCCAAGAACTCTCTGGAAGATGGCTTTGCTCCCCTCACCACATTAGGCACAACAACAAAAGGACACATGCCAGCCTTTTATGAGGCCGCTGGCATGGTCTCACCCCAGTGAGATCTGGCAACAGGCAACTAATTCAACAAGCAAAGCTCAAATTTAAGATACTGAGCTATTCCAGATGCTAGGAGAGGTTAAACATTTATAATGGAAGCAAAGTCCACGGGGCACAAAAAGCCACCAGCAGCAGAATTTAAAACAAATTTATGCAAGAAACACTTTCCTCACAGGACAAGGTAAACCTCAACTCAGTACATAAATTCCAGCAACAGTCATGAATTGTTTTACTACTGTTGACACAAACGCTCTGCAGTTTTTTCTACCCTTGCAACAGCATGCTACATAGCTTTATGCATGCAGATGCTCAGGCAGCTCATCTAATCCTACACCGAGCTCCTCGGAGCCCATTCCTGCTGCCAGGACCTCACAAACACCCATGGGAAGGCTCAGAGCTCCAGGAAATGACAGCCAGCAATGGGCTTCTGCTGCCAGAAAGATCAATTTCTTTTCACTCACACAAACCACCTCTGCAAAACTAACCAATAACAAACCACTCCTGCTTGCTTACTTTCTTTTCAGAAACACTCCAAATTTATTTGTGTGTGTTCAGTTTGTGTGTGCAGACCTACACAGCCTTTTGCAGCCAGATGCAATATTGCATTGTTAGCTCCCACCTACTACTGGGCATGAGCCAGCACTGATCTGAAGGCACCATGCTCTCCTTGCCCGCAGGTTGTGTGGTGCAGCAAAGCAAAAACTCCCATTCACAGGCTGGAAGGGAAAAATCTGGGATCAAAAACCAGATCTTCATTTGCCTGAATATATTACTGTCCCCAAACCTCACTCTTAATGCATCAAATCAGCCAGCCTGGAGCACAAAAGCAGCAACATCATGCAAAACCTCAGGACTTGTCTTGAAAAGAACTAGGCAAGGTACTGCTAATTTTATATCTATGGCACCACCAGAAACTTCATAATGTTCATAGTCCATTTACCTGCATCTAACTTCTGCTTATTTACTCTCCAAAAAATCTAGCAATTTTAAAGCAATGGGGTGCAAAGGTTTATCAAACTAAAGAAAGAGGACTTGAGAGAAAATTAAATTCCTGAGATCTAAAATTGCAAAGTCTAAGATAATTTTTCATCACGGAAATGCACTTAAGTCTATTTAAACCTTCTTCTAACTGCACAACAATTTGAAAATAACCTATTGAAAATAGTGTACATTTCTGATACGTGTCTCATTGGCTAACATATAGACTGTACAGACTGATTTTTAATATACTGCCCTATTTCTCTGTGAGAAACCTTAACATCTGTAACTCTCTCCTCCTTTGTATTTACAGAGCTACTGAGCTGTGCTAATCAGGGGCCATCATAGCAACTGATTTATATTAAAAGCAAATAGAGTTCTTTTCCAGCACTTAGTTTTAATTGTACCAGTTGGCACACTAACCTCCTGTGCTACCCAAACTAACAACACTAAGCGGTATCTCTGCAAGAACTAACACGGAGTACAGTTACTAAGTAACCTTAGGTATGAATTGATATTCTAATAGGGATATTCTGCTTCCCTCTCCCATTCCCCAGCACAGATTTCAATACATGAGAGAAATAACCAGGGCAAGCCCATCCCACATGACTGCAGGCACAAGGATGAATCTTAGGAAGAAGTTTTTTCTCAGGAAGAGCAGTGAGGCAGTTGCACAGGCTGCCCAGAGGTGGAGGAGTCAATGTCCCTGAGGGGTTCAAGAAACGTGGAGATGTGGCACAGGGATGTGGACAGAGAGCAGTATTGGTGGTAGGGGGACAGTTGGATTGATGATCTCAGAGGTTCTTTTCCTGGTACGGGGACAGTTGGATTGATGATCTCAGAGGTTCCTTTCCAATCTTCACAATGGTTGATTCTAAGAATGAGATGGCTGCCTGTAAGCAGTTCATCTGAAACAGCTCTGTGAGGGGGCATGGACCTGAACCCCAAACTGCTGATGCACACAGCGGCAGTGACCAGGAAACACAGGACTGAGGCGCTGAGATACAACCACTCACCCACGTGAGAACAGGCAAGCAAACACGAACAAGCAAACTATACATGGTCCAAAGACCAAAGAGCACAACTTAGTCTTTGAACGCTAGGTTATCTTACCTGAGACTTTCCTCCGCTACTGTTTATCACATCAGAAGCGGACCTTTTTTGTTACCATCAACCCCGGCCTTTCGCATAATAGTAAGAGAATTTCACCTGCCAGTTCCACTCAAAATGCCAACCATCGCCCGGCCGTGAAGCACGCGAGCGAGGCACAGTACAGCAGGCAGACAGCAGGGAGGAACGAGGGGATCCCGGGCGGCGCCCCGCCCTCCCATACCTGCAGTTCTGCACCGGGTTTTTGCGGGGCAGCTTCACGGGCAGACACAGCTTCTTCATCCCCTGGGCGCTCAGGGTCAGGTAACCATTTTCACAGCCGGTAGAGATGAGGACGAGACGCGGCTCCTGACGAGCCGTGACCATGTGCCCGTCCTCCTTGACCACGAGCCAAAACCTGAACGATACGGAGCGAGGCTGAACACGCGATGCCCGGCGCGGAGATCCCCGCCGCAGCCCCGCGCAGGGCTGCCCTACCTGTCCCGCATCTCCCCGCTCTGCAGCCCCATCGGCGTCACCCGCGCCCGCTGCACCGCCACCCCCTGGCACGACTTTACGGGGTACACGAACAGGCTGGACACCGTGCCCACCCGCTGCAGCCGGCCCGGGCGGCGGCGGCGCCCCGCGGCTCTCCCTCGGGTCCAGCGCCAGGCCCCGAGCAGGACGCCCAGCGCCGCTACCGCCGCCGCCCCCCACAGCCAGCCCCGCGGCGCCGACACCATCAGACCCTGCGCCCCCATCATGGCGACCGAGCGCCGCGCGGAGCTGACGGCGCGGGCAGGGAGGCGGGTCGGGGCCGCCCCCTTCCGGTTCGGGGGGCGCAGGGACGGGGGGACACCGCCGCCTCCGCGGGCGGCCTGTGGCGCTGCGCCGTCGCTCTTTCTGAGAATAAGTTTTTTCGAATACCCAACCTGAGCCTTCCCTGGTACAACTTAGGGCCATTATTTCTTGTCCTGTTGCTGCTGCCTGGAAGCAGAGAAACACACTGAGGCCCTGGAGCGTGGCCAGAGAAGGGCAGCAAAGCTGTGAGGGGTCCGAAGCTCCAGTCTTATTGAAAGCGACTGAAGGAACCGGGATTGTTCACTCCGGAGAAAGGAGGCTCAGGGGAGACCCTGTCCATCTTTACAACTGTCTGAAAGGAGGTTGTGGTGAAGAGGTTTCGCCTCTTCTCCTGGGCAGCAGCTACAAGATGAGAGGGAATGGCCTCAAGCTGCGCCAGCAGAGGTTCAGATTGAATATTGGGAAAAAATGTCTCTGACAGAGTGGCACAGGCTGCCCTGGGAGGTGGTGGAGTCACCGCTCCTGGAGGTGTTCAGGAAACATGGAGATGTGGCACTGAGGGCAATAGTCAGTGGGCCACAGTTAGTGGGCATGGTGGGGATGCGTTGAGGGTTGGACAAGGTGAACTCAGTGGTCTTTCCAACCTTGATGATTCTGTGAAATAAGGAGCAGTTGGAAGGGGGAGCTTTGCAAAGGTGAGGTATTCCTCCAGGCTGATTTTCTTATCTTGGGATGACTACACAAGACCGGCTGAATTACAACAGGCAAACTTAGTAGGGGAGGGACATCTCATAAACTATGCCTGCACACCAAGGAGTCATCTTGCTGTCATTTGCACAGGGGGAGAGTGAGACCTCCTGAAGCCCCTCTGAACCACCAACCCATTTCCAGAGTATTCTAAGAATCTAACAGCACTTGCACAGGAATAGGGCCATACTTTGATCACAATGTTAGATGGGGCCTGACAACCACCCAAGACCCAGACCCATTTCTGGAACATTATGAATAACTGAGTTTGTACTCAGGGAGAACATAATGCAAAGGCATCATAGCTCATTGCTAATAGGGCATTTCTTATCTAGTACCAATAACCATTTTTCCCAGGTAAACTTGAAGCTTCTCTTTCTTTGAGTAAAAGTATTAACCGATTGCTTGGTGTCATTTCACCTTAATTTACCTGATAGAATCTTGAACTTTGTGACCTTTGTACACTACCTAAGGCAGTCTGGAGTCAGGTCGTGACAGATGTATGCCTGCAGCTGCTGCTGGGTGCCAGCTAGGTGAGACCCCATGTCAGGGCTTCCTTCTTGTGGGCACCTGATTAGAAAGCCTCATTAATGGCACTCTATGGGGTCTTTGTGCTAGGCAGGTGCAACATCATAATACTGCTTGTGGCTGCTGACATCGTGGAACCTTCTGTCAACTTCCAGGGTCTCTGGTCAGGGCAAAGTTGGAGCCTGCTACATTGGTTCCTCTGGCTTCCCTGCTCAGGCTCACAAACCAACATTTTTAGGATCAGCTTGCCAAGACTGAGGCAAGAGCAAAAAGCAAGGAGGGTCAGTGCTTTGCATTTTTGAGAGATTTATGCAGCCCTGCCACTATGAACTGCTGGAAGTATTACATTGACTGCATCCTGAGCGACAGGAACATTGATGATGTGGCCATTGTGGGCCTCTCTGACAACAAGTGCGTGTGGGCAACCAAGCCAGGAGGGCTGCTGTCGGCTGTCTCACCTTATGAAGTGGACTTGATCACAGGCCAGGATAGGAAAACGTTCCTGATGACTGGAATCACCATCGCGGGGAAGAAATGCAGTGTGATTCGTGACAGCCTGCTGGTAGAAGGAGACAACGTGATGGATGTCAGAAGCAAAGGTGGTGACAGCAGATCCATCTGTATAGGCAGGACCCCCAAAGCTCTGATCTTCCTCATGGGCAACAGAGGAGTCCATGGAGGAGTCCTCAATCAGAAGATCCATGACATGATTGTTGGCATGACACTATGAGGCAACTGGCACCAGAGAGACAGAAATCTTCCACCAGAATATGGTGGCATTGTCATGGCTTTCGCAGAGAAAGGAAATAAGCCTGGTTTTCTTGCATATGCCTTTGCCTACTTCTTTCAGGTAGGGGGATGTTAGGAGAGCAGCAGTATGGGGACATTCACTCTGCCTGAGAAGCTTCAGTGCAGGAGTGCCACTTCCCCATCCCCATCACCTTCAAATCGTTAAATATAATTTAATGAACCTAAAATAATGACTCATGAAGAAGTTGATAAAGCTGCCCCAGACATGAAAAGAGAGCCAGCCCTGCTGAAGACAGAGTGAATTTGCATGCCCCTTGATAGCCATTCATCTTCTAATTTAACACAGAGTCAATATTTGGTAGTTTAATTAAACTCACAGAGAAATCTTTAATCTGCAGCCACACCTACAAAGAGCAGTAAAATGCTGTAAAGAAACCAGGCATCTGATGTATTAGCAAATGTTCAACAACACTAATGACTGTCTAATTTGTAAACACTTGTCCTGTGAACAGTACGTACAAGCATGAATCAAAACAAATTAACAGAAGTAATGAGGGGAAGAAAAAACAAAACTGGAAAAACACAAACCAGGTTAGGATCTAACAATAAAAAGCAATGCATGAAATGAAATTAAATGAATGGTAGGAAAAAATACATCAGTATTTATTCTGGCCACAAGTTTCTCAAAACATGATGCCATTCCTAACAGATACTGACATTTATTTTCACAAGCTTAAGGCAAAGTGAGTAAATATCTCCTGTGATGTTGTGAGCACTGGTAGCATTCTCCTCTGCGCATAGCACAAAACACAGAATGCTTTTGTCCCATGAACTTCAGTCTAAGAGGCATTCAGAGTGACAGGATTCGGAATAGCAGAAAATACTTTTGCATGATTTTTTTGATTGCTCCCTTCTTTGGTGCCAGAGAAAACAGATCTGAAGTGTATGTGTGCTCCCAAAAAACAGTGACAGGATGACAGGGATGGCCCCAAGTTGCACCAGGGGAGGTTCAAGTTGGATATTAGGAAAAACTCAGAAAGATTGGTTGGGCACTGGCACAGGCTGCCCAGGGAGGTGGTGGACTCCCTGTTGCTGGTGGTGTTCAAGAAACATATGGATGTGGTACTGAGGGACATGGCTTAGTGGACAATGTTGATGGTAGGTGGACAGTTAGACTAGATGATCTCAGATCTTTTTCAATGTTACTCTATGATTCTATGATTAACCAGCATGAGGATATGGAGATATATGGGCCTATATAGTGTGTTGGTGCTTTGATAGCTACAGCTACTCCCTAATCATACACGATGGGTAGCACAACACTGTACAGAAAAGCTTCTTTCAATTCAAAGGACTTGAGCATTAAATCTAGATACAGTTACCTTTCCTAGTGATTCCATAGAAATTTAAGTTGTTGTTTTTTGTTTTTTTTTTTTTAAAAAAAAAGGATTTCTAAATCCAAGAAGGACCTTAAACTTATTCCCTAAACCCACCAACTTGGACCATAATGAGACTTTGTTCAGATCAGCTCTGACTCTTGAAGACTGTGGCATGAAGGAGCTGAAGGAGGAATAACAGAAGGCAGCAGCATCCTGATCTGGGTGGACATTCCAAAGAAGTTCCCACTGTCAAAGGCAGCAAAACGCTGGCCTAGATGAGGAGAAAGGGTCTTGGGGCAGAGCTAAGTGTAGGTTGGGTTTGTCCCCATGAAGGAATGAACTGTCCCACTCCAGAGACAAGCCAGGTATTTTTCCAGTGCCTCTGCAAATTCTACAAAAGTTGGGGATGATGGGATGACATTGCTGGTTATGCAGTCATCCCACTTTGATTTCAGACAGGTATGATAAAAAATATTTTACATCGTACCCCCACACCAATTGCATCCTTCTTCTGAAGTCAGAACAAAAAAATAAATTCAAAAGATTCCTTCATAGAGAAGAGAGGAAATCAGAGTTCAGTGAGTCATACACTAGAAATGAGCTGAGTGAAATTAACGTAGGAAAAAATCTCAGGAGAATAATTGGCAATGATAGAATTAAAAACAGGCTCATTAATGAGAGATGGCTTTTAATGGAGTCAAAATTGTCTGGCTTTTCTTACATAAAGAACCATAAATGTATAGAAGGCAGGCAGGTCGGTCGGCTGCTTTGTCCTCCGTCTGGTCATACAGGAAGATTGACTGAAAATTGTCTAATTGAAAATTCCTCCAGTCAAATGTTAAACGTTGGCCTCCTTAAATTCACCAGGACAGCGGTGAAACGGTTAATCCGAGGAAATTTTTGGGCCAGGATGAAGCAATGTGGGCTATTTACACACGAGAGCTGGAGCTGGGGTACAAGGCAGCTCCCGGGGCAGGTCCTTCCTCCCGTGTTTGAAACCTCGCCTCCTGTGGAAAGCAGCTGGGATCTCTCCAGTAGAGGGCGAGATTTGGAAACAAGTGGCTAGGGCTAATTCCTTCAGTGGAGCAACCTTCATGAGGGCTTTTAAGGCACACCGAGAATTGCGAAGTGCAATAAATTTCTAGGTGTAGAAGGGAAAAAAGAAAACACAACAGCAACAAAACCAACAACGACAACAGCAACAAAAAAAAAAGAGAGCAGTGTTCCATGTCTTTACCTTTGAAACAATTGCAAACAGGATACAGAGACTCCGGATTCAAAACACCAGGCCCAACATCCTGAAGATATGTCTTGGCAAAGTAGCTGAGGGGAGGGCAGGAAACTCAGCAGGAGGAGGTGAAGCAGAACAATAAGCAAGGCTAACAAGGGTGGAAATCTGACTTTTTCCCAGGAGATGGCACTAAAGGACAATTGCCTTTCAGCCAGCATTGCTCAGCTCAGAGGAAACCTCGCTGAGGGCCAAACTTCTTGGCGCAGTTTGCCCTGAGATCTCTGCAAGTCCTTCCCTATCAACAGAAACAAAGTTTAATTCTGTGGTTTCAGCAAGGGATGGC